TTTTGAGGACAAAATAATAGCTATAGTTATGGTCCCCCTATATAGCCAAATTGCACATTGATCAGTTTCATTCTTGGGGTACCTTAATCGATGGGTCGACCGATGAGTGTATTCGAGGTGAATGCACCCGTAAACGAAACTTTTTTTTTTACGATAAGGAAAAATGACAAATGAGATCAATACATGTATGATGTATACTAATCTTCATTCGATCTATTTGTAAAATCCTATCGTTCAGGCTAACGCAACCCCACTAAGTAACTTTTAAGTTAGTTCTGCAGTCGGCACTAAACAAACAGAAATCGATATCAAGGAAACATTAAGCTCGACAATGATTAAAAAACCGATCACATTGCAGACCACAAACGGGCAAATACTGAGCCCGAAAATGAAATTTGTTCAGAAACAGCAACGAAAAACGATGAAATGCAGAAGAACCTAAACCCCCCATGTCTAAACAAAACATCTCCACAAAAAACACCAAAACAGTTCTTTTTTTTCTTCCCTTTTTTGCCCCCAAGAAACTCCCTCAGCACCCTAACTCACTGTTTTCGTGATGCTTAGCAGGCTTCGACTCGGCCCGGCTCGATTTCCTCCTGCAGAATATGTTCCAACTCCTCTTACTCTTCCCCATCTTCTGAAACTTCTCCTTCATCCCCTGACACTCCTTCTCCAGCTCACACAACCTCTCCCTCATCTCATCAATGCTTGTAATCCTCTCCTGGCCCTTCGAAAGGCCCGGCCCATAACTCACATTCTGTGACCCGTCAAGATTTTCCGAAACAAACAGCCAGCTGGAGATTGAGGTTCGGAGCCGAAGCTGCTCGAAGAACAGCACCTGAACGATCACCCTTAACGGCAATCGCTCGTTTTGCGCAGCATGCGTACTCGCCTCCAACGAGAGCTTCTGAAAATTCATCAGCCGGCAAACTTGCTCTCGTTCTGAATCAGTCAGCCACGGGTGTTCCTGCACACGGACCGATTTTCCGATAAATCACAAGTCACATTTTAAAAGAAAAATATGGAGAAAAAAAAGCACGAATACTTTATTCCTGTGATCGATCACCTTGAGAAAAATATCGATGGCCCGATAAATCCCGTCAGAGAGCGGCCTCGCGTAGTCCGGGACAGCCGCAGCCAGCGCCTGAAACTTGGGGAACTTTAGGTTAACGTCGGGCGCCACCTCAGCTAAGTACGAGTCCACCAAATTTGCCACCATGGTCAACGAGGTCAGTGTGTGGGTCCCCTCGACCAGCTCCTCCTCCGCGATGATGCACGGTGATGCAGCCGTTGAGGCCTGCTCGACCGACAAGAAATGATCCAAAATCCTCTGAAAGCAATCCACATCATACAAAGTCTCGACCGAGTAACCCAAATTCGGTACCAACAGATCCTCGAGAGAAGCTCGATCCAGCTCCAACCCGACCCTCCGTTCGAGGCTCTCCCGGCATGCGGGCCCCACCTGCAGAACCATCGCCGTCTTCAGCAGCCGGAGCAAGAAACGTGTGTGCAGAACACCCTTTTGTGCCGGGAGGAGGTCGACAATCTCCTCAAGAAGCGCGCCTTGGTCCGACTCGGACGGGACGGAGATCGTCGATGACCCGTTCGAGCTTGGGTTCTTGAAGCTCGACTGCCGGTTCATCTGCGGTATGTACTTCTTCGCGTAGAAAACGAGCGCTCGGGCCACGCTCTCGGCCCGCATCCCTCCTTCCTCGACGGCCCGTATTAGCCGCTTGTACAGTGGGAGGCTGAGGAACGAGACATCCTCGTACCACCAATCGTCGGCCGTCGGTACTGAGTTGTTGTTATTACTTTTCAGGGGAAGAGAGCAGATGCCATTCCATGCAGGGCCCGCACGGTGGTCCACGGGCCAACCGAAGAAGAGGGTGGGGTCGGAGCAGGCTTTGATGGCGAGGGAGTTGATGCATCGGGAGACAATGTGGAGGTCCTCGGCGGGTTGGAGGACCTCTTCGCAGGTCTCGAGGGCCTTGATGGTGTCGGTCCAGTTGGCGAGGAGCTCGTTGAGGAAAGACTCAGTCTGCGAGACGAGGTTCGAGTCGCCGTAGTCTTCAGTCATGACAAGGTGCTCGGCCGCACAGCGGAGGGAGACGACGTTCATGGAGGTGAGCTCGATTTTCACGCCATAGCAGAATTTAGCGACGAGCTCGAAGGACTTGGCGCCGCCTGGGAGGTTGCTGAGCTGGACGACTAACGGGCCTCCGGAGGAGGAGGAAGAAACCTCCTCGCCGCCGCCGCCACCGATCAGCTTCTCGAGGAGGCCGCTCCTCGAGAGGAGGGGAAACTAAAATTAAAAAGAACAGATTTATTCGTTGTTTCTT